GTGTGCCTCGTGATTTTTTTCCCCGCGACAAGTGTGCCTTGGCCAAATAAGGTTGGGAAACGCTGCTCTAAACAATATATGACTAAATAATATTTGCACATTTATCTTTAAAATTTAATAAGGTAAAATTATAATGTAAAATAAAAATTATGTAATCTTGATATCAAGGATTAAACATCTAAAGCAGGGCGGCGTGTAGTAGGTGGAAATTTCATATCCAGGAAATTTGTTATCAGTGCTTTGCTACCTACTTGAAAAGTTATTACGATAACTTGCTAATTGCTTAATAAAAAAATTCGTCTTATCAATACTTTCAAAAATTATATCACTGTTGTTTTTATACGAATTTTTGGACCAACAAAATATAAATTATTTCATTTTAAATGCTGTAAATATATTTTGTAGACCTTGTTCACGTATAACTCAGTGAAAACAGGATTGCATAGTTAATTATTTTTTTCCTTCTTTTCTCGTATAAATTTAAAATATATAATTTATAAAAATTTTAAAGAATCCAGATAGGATTTATTTCGAATAGAATAGTAACAGAGCAAGTGTTTTCACTAATTTTTTGCATTGCTATTCTGAAGAATTCATTTTAGACACACCATGGTATTTTTACGTCATGTATTTCTGAAGATCGATTGCTTACTTACAGTTTCTTCAACTTATATCTTTTGATCCCCTCTTACTTCACATGTTATCACCATCACTATATAGCAGTTATCTCCACCTCATCTGAGACTATAGCTAAAGTCAGCCTTCATCCCTGCTCTTTTAATGAAGCAAAGCATGCTAAACAGAAATGAAGTTAGGAACAATTAAATAGGGGACTCGACCAGCTGCCGTTACCATGTTACGATTTTATTTCCTATATTTAAATATAAGAAATAAGATTGTACAACAAATCTTATTTCTTATATTTTTCTTGATTTAGCATTAATCATTTTGGCGTTATTATTCTCCTTTTCATCTTTACTTATATGAAAATCTTGGTAAGAATATTTTTATTCTTTTCATCTTTAGGGACGTAAATCCCCCGGCGTACCTCTCCTCACTCTAGGCTCTTTGCAAATAGCGGGCGCTGTCGTGGCCTTACTACTTCCCGAGACAATCCACCAAAAGGCGCTGCAGACGTTACAAGATGGTGAAGAGTTTGGAAAACGGAGGACTTGGAACGATTGTTTTCGCATCGGACCGCCTAAGTAAGAGTCATACTTGTTGTTTACCTGAAATCTGGATTATAGAGCCGAAAATGTGTGTGCAGAAATTAAGTTAAATAAGAGATTAACAAAGGTTAATTATGATTAAAGTAAATAATATATTATAATTTTTACTGATATTCTATTTTGTTAGGATAGACAAGGAGTTGGTAAGCTGAAAACGTCACGAACATTTATTTGTATATATCAATGTCTATCGTTTGGCACTTAAAGTATTAGATGCTTTACTTCACAGATCTTCTGGGTTATATATTTAAAACTATGAATCGCAGAATACGTGCATAAAAGTTACTTGTCCAGAGTCTCAAACAGATCACCCCGGAGAATTCCTGAGTCTAATGTAAAGCAAGATGACCAGTAAGGGAGTTATGCTATAATAAATTAATTAAATTAATTTATTAATTCTTCATAAGCGGAATGATGCCACAGCTGTATAAGAAAAAAAATTAAATAAGTGTATACTTTGTCTACGAGGCATTGCCAAGTCCTTTCCCTAAATTTTATACACAAATTTGGAATCATAAATATTGTTAAATTCCCAGTTTATCAGTTGGGTTTCTGAAGATCAGCCGTTCCTTGCTTTTTCCTCGAGAAATACGCACTCTGCTCCACAACCTACCAGCGCGCAAATACTCAGGAAGGAAATTTTGAAACTGCCGGCATTCATAAATTCGTTGCGCGTCGCAAGTTCTATTCTTGGCAAGAATGTATAAGACATCTGCAGTCCGAAAACATGACCGCTTCGAAGGAGGAGGTTTTACGACAGTAAGTGTTGTAAGGTCACAGGAGTTGTTTTCTATTCACCATAGCAACAACCTTAGCATATCAGTTCCTTAGCAACTTTCTATTCACCCTAGCAACAACCATAGCACATGAGTTGCTTAGCAACTTTCTATTCACCATACCAACTTGTGGCGTTAGCAAACCCTGCTTTACAAAAAGGGCGTAAAATCAAAAATTAGATGTTGTTTATCAGTCATAAAATATACACCATAAAACTTATGGAGCTTTTACTTGCGAACTAATCAAGTGTAGATTGACAATATTCGTAGGCTGAAAACATTGTTACAACTTTTGTTTTATGTAACATGAATCGTCTCAAGTGACGCTTTGCCGAAATATAAGACTACTAAAGCTAGTCTAGTATCTCCGTTAAATCTGCGAGGCATCGCCAAGCTTACGATGGTTTTACGACAGTTTCTGTCGCAAAGTTTGGCGAGTTTGGGCCCATTGGTGAACTTTGTCAACTGGCAACATTTTTATGCGGTCCCTGTATAACTGTAATTAACTTAAATGCCTATGCGGCCTATAACTATATCCGGCCCTTATATGTAACTGTAATCATGTATGCCTTCAAGTAATTTCGAGCAACGGAAGGTACTGGAAATTTCTCTGCGGCCTCTGCGACTGTATAAGAACGGATCCCCCGCGGGGGTTGACTCAGGAGAATTCCTGGGAAATACTGGTTAGGATCTGTACTTAGGCAGTCTCAACCACGGAGGTATACAATTTGACTTCACAGGACTAGAACCCGAGTATTATACTCAGGTTGGTTCAGGCTTGGTAGGGACCGTACTGGTACTGCCGTGTCTGTTCCTTCGGTTATGGTAGAGCTAGATTGGAGATCGTCGACCAAGTCCCCGGGGGTTTGAAACATTCAGTTCTCGTGACGGGGACTGACAGAGTGGTCAGAGCGCACTTTACGACGTACGTTTAGCCGATGGAGTGATGCCCAGAGGCAAAAGTTCTATTCATATCTAAGATTTGTTCTGCCCAATACTTTGTAAAAAGCCGTGCGGGGACTGCGGGGGTTGCACCCGCAAGGACGAGGTCCCCTGGACAATAGATATCCAAACTCTGCATGGGTCCGCAAGTCGTACTTGGGTCGGAGATCTATGTTTGTCTGCTGCGTCTGTAATAAGAACGGTTCAGTTCTTGAATTTTAGTTCAAAGTTGACTTCGAAGTATTGAGAAATCTCCGCGCGAGCTTCGCTCATTGGATGCACTTTACATTGCGTTGTGTTTAATGTTTTTTATAGTTTGAAGTGGTAACTACTGATTGCGCTCTGTCATAATGAGAGGAGCTGTACCAGTACTTTGTAAAATGTTGCAGAATTGTCAAGTGTTTCTTTGGGGAAGAACAAATTTTATCAAGCTATCATCGGTTCTCTGTGCGGGTCCGTGTTATATATAAAACTGGAAGTCTATAGTCGACAATATCTAAAACTGGAAGTCCGTTTTTTAGCACCATATATAAATTCAAGTAATTTAAGAATTTTTACCTACCATGAAATTGTAAATATTACATAGCAAAATAATTGTATTACCAGAATGTTAAATGGTCCATGATGTCACTATACGGGAGATAATGATGTCATGATTCCCTTTCTATCAAAGCGTAAGAATAGTACAGTGTATCTACAAACGAATGCGCGAACGGAAGATATATTTTTATATGATTTTTTTTTCCATTTTTCATAGCTAGACCATAGGCCACTTTTACTAGGTATAGCGATATAAAAAAAAAAGAAATGTGTTTCTTAGGCCCGCTCTAATGTGCATTAATGATTACATGTCCAAATGATCCCAAACTTTTCTGCTACATATGCTGCATAATATCCGTTGCGACATGATTGAGGATTGTAGTAATGCTTGCCCAGAGATTATCAAGAGACATGACCTTTATCTTGCGGATCATAGCCATTATATAGCCTCAGAGAGACAAACAATTTTATATAATTGAAACCATCATGTCATTTCTTTTTACTGGGCCTACTAGCTCCGCTAATCGTCGCGGTCTGAAACTAAGACACTGTCTGAAAGTAAGGACTGAAACCAAGGCATTGTTTCCTGTTTAAAGCAAAAAGTCTCGTATCTTTCATTAGATATGACGATGAAGTTCCATACATTGTAAATGCTTTATTATTTTCTTTTGCTGCGATGTGATCAGCATATAGTATTATCAGATAACAGTATTCTTCCTAGGCTTGGTTAAAGTGAAACTAACAAAGATCAGCGTGACCATATTGGAGTATTCTCTTCAATTGTGTTCAACAGGCATTTTATTACCTCCACAACGGAAGCTTAAAGACAACGACTGAGAAGCGCTTTATCTGTTAGCAAATTATTTTAAAAGAGCTGTGAATAATTAGGTTCTGGAGAACTTCTAGCAAATCAAAGGCAAATAGAACAAATTTATTTATAAGGGATATCCTCTTTCAGAAGAAAACCACTTTCGATGCTTAGTAATTATAAGCAGGCTCATTTGTTATATTTGAAGATTCGTTTCTGAATTATTTTATTCTTGTTGCGCAACTCTGTTGCTGGGAAAACAAAATTTCTATAAAAGCTCCACGGGACAGTGCTCCCGAACAATCAAGATTTTTAGAATACCTTCACCGGAAAAGCAAGATGTTATTTTTACCACCAGAAACAACATCGTCACCAGGCAGCTATTTTTCCCACTTGATAACCTTGTAACCTTGAGATTTGTGGGAGAATTAAAGCATCAGAAAGGTAACTGTTTCTTGGGAGGAAAGGAATAAATCACTAATAAAAACGGAGTGAAGAAGGTTGCGTTCTTTGCTGGTTTCTCAAAAATGGCAACATAAATTTCTCTAAAGCAACAAGAATTTTGGAAACAAGAAACGTATGTGCAGAGGCTCAAACATTAATTGCATCTGCGTAAAAAATACGTCATTTATTAAATACATTAAAAATCATTTTATATTTAACAATATAACAATTTTGTGGGTCTTAGAATTATCAACAAACCAATGGATAAAACCAGAATTCAGATCGTCTATTAAAATCATCCGAAAATCATGTTGCAATCATGTTTCATTCAATACCCATACATTGCACCACCATTCTGTTATGATATAGCCCACATATATGACAGCAAGATCAAACCATGTTCACCAATTTTGTCGTGGTGAGAAGGGCACGGTTGCATGTTCCGTTAGTATGGAGCTTAAGCGCCTTATAGATGACATTACGACTCTATCATCGTCTCAGTTCTGAATGAAAATCTTCTAAGGAATGGCTTCGGAGATCTCCCATGCCCTCCTACTCTACCGTCAAATAAATCAAGATAACTTTAAGTTCGCTATGTATTTTAAGTGCCAGTATGCTGTAAAAACGCTACACACTTACAAATATTTAAGCCCTCTCCGGGATTTGAACTTGTATTCAATGATACATCAGCCAGCAAAGCTTAACCTATACGGACCAGGGCAGACAGAAATTGTTTAGAATATAAGCTGAATCCAGAATCTCCCGAAACTTAAATTCCCAAATGGAACAATCAAACAACAAGATGAGAACAAAATGAGATCACTAGAATTTTGAAGAACAAAATAAATAGAACTCCAACGAACGTTCTCTAACCTTAAAGAATACTGCAAATTTTAATATATAGGATGGCCAATATTGTATCTACCAAAGTTAATAAGAACAGAAAGATAGTGAATGCTTGTAGTAACTTACTAATTCTAAACTAACAGTATACACATAGGCATTTATTACAGTGCACATAAACAATAGTACAATAATAAGCATTAAAAATAATGTTCTCTAATTGTCCTTTTGCATTAATATGCTTGGAATGCGCAATGCGAAAATGATTTTATGACACGTCTCAATAGCTGCTCTATAATATTTTCAGAGTACTGTCATACTTGCTTTTGCTGTTGTACCGTCCCGTTGGAAGCAAACTGTTTCATTCAGCGATTTTTCCCGCAATTCTACCGAACTTCAGTGTTCTATAGCAATACCTACCACGTGGCAGTGACTGCGCCTATTGTATAAAAGTTTTCCATTGTTCTAATCCGCAACTGCACCGACCATGGATGTCTATGTTTATACTAACTGTCTACCTCTTAGCTCTCAGTGTATATAGGTATACACAAAAGCGCATGTGTATTGTTACAGGGTTGCAAAATCAAATTAATGATTGATGATAGAAATTATGCGCCACCCTCTAGCTTTAACATATGAAACAACTTATATCTATATTTATTTTAATAATTAAATAAATACCTAAATGTAAAGTAAGGAAAACGAGTATGTAAAAAAATCTCATTTTTTTAAAAACATAATCCATTTAGTTCTATATATTATTTGCATCGCTCGTAATATATATGTACACCTTTGAAGTCGAACTTTTGTCTCAAACTATATTTAGGACCACTCACGTCTTCAGTAATATGCTGCATCAAAGCACCGTTTATACATCTTACAAGGGACTGCTCATGAACTATTCTTAAAAGAGAAAGATGTATGATATAAATTTTAGTTTAAGTTTGCGACACCTATAGTTTAATTGAAGCATTTTGATTTTATTATTATATTGTATTTTTATACCAAATTTAATTTTATTGTCTGGTTTTCCAATTTGTTTAAAATACTATCGCTATTTTTAACAAAATTAACTCATTTACTTTTTTAAATCATAAAATTTCAGACTGTATAATATTTAATATAGAATTGAAAACGATCCTCCTTTTATTTCAAATGAACATGAATAAACAATGTATTTTTTTTTTCAGTAAAGTTTTAACACTGATGGAGATTTCAGGTTTCTCTAGTGTAACTATCCTAACTGAGGTGTGACATGTTATTTTATTTGAATCTTAAGCAAAGCAGTAAAAGCGCAATGAGCAAACAACTGTCCAAAACAATACATATTTATCAAATGACAAATGAATTAGACATCCCTCTTTGCAAGCCCCTCTGGTCACCAGATTCCGAAACTCTCTCTCCAAGAGCTCTCTCTTCAAATCTTCAATAGGATTTGAACCTCCCTGTTCAGTTTTAGTTGTCCTTCCTTCTACCTCCCTTTCGCCCCGATATGTAATTTTCATACGTTATTGAAAGAAAGAAATGATTGTGGAGAAACTATCTGACCTATTAAATGAAATGTTAATGAATATGTCAGGGAATAAATATGTATAACCGAATTTATGGATCGTATGGGTATTATATTTTACTATTTATATGAATAATGCCCTTGTGAGAAAGAAACGAAACCTTGCGTAAATGCAGAGAGCATAAACAATAAGCACATGAAAAATGCTTTACTCTAATTTATGACTCATATGATTCTAGAATGTCTGTCAAAGAACTAATTTTCCCTTTCCTTAGGCAAGAAGCCAAGAATGGTATTCTGAAGAACAGAGGCCCACAACCGCAGTCACCTATCCTAAGGTAAGAATGCCAGCAGTTATTGTACACATTCCTGTGTTAATATGTTTGCTATCTAGTGATTGTAATATTCCTGCATTTTGTCGGTTATCATTTTTATAATTGCAATGCAATAGAATCCGTTCATTTTTCTTTATAGGCTGGGTGAATTCAAACATCTTTTTGAATCTAAAAAAAAATAATAATAACATGCTCGTATGATGTCTGCTACTATAATATAGACCTTCAGTTATTCGAACTCAGGTTAATTGGAACGGCCTTTCTTCTTTCGGGACTTGATGTTGCTTGTTTTGACGTTAAAAAGATCTTTTGTAGAATCTTTGTAAACGTCTTGAAGCGTTACATTACGTTTAAATCACCGTATAACCTGTTTGATCGGTATTGTCAGGCAGACGACAACATGTTGTAAGGATCTTAAGTTTTACTAACGTTTATTTTATTTTAAATCTTTACTATCACTTCTTATTTTCTACTTCCGGCCAGAATTATAAGCGTGAAGGATTTTATGCAAAGTTGTCTGGCGAACGCCAAGTATTTAAGTGTGGCCTTTTTGCCAAGCAGGAGAGAGGAAGCAGTGAGTTCGAAGCAGGCCGCTTACCTTAGAAGTTACGCAGTTGCTATTTGCCTTCCAGGCCAGAGGTTTTAATCCTCTTGATAAATTAAAACGTATTGTAGTGTTCACAGTCTCTGTGCTACATACGCTTCCTGTTATTATAAGGCCAATCTTATTCTAAAGTTAAATTAGAGTTTAGTTTTATTTTTATACCTTTTACGTTAGACCCCGAGTGGAGGGTCATTGTATTCCGAAGTACGGAAGTCATTGTATTGTATATAAAGAAAAATAAAGGGTTTTGTATACCCTTCGTCTGTATCCTGTCTACTTACTACAATTAGTGAACATAGCTTTAGTAAGCTCTCTGTTCCTAGTCAGGTCATTGTATGTTTCCGAAGAAGGTTAGAAGAAAGAACATTGAACCTGATAGTGGCGCCCGAACGAAGAATAACCATGGCCGAGTTTCAAGAAGAACCTGTGCTGCCTGCAGAAACGGCTCAGAATCCAGAAATGCCAGCTGCCGCCCTGGAAGGATTTGGGTTACATCGTCCAGACCATGCGCGCTTCGATGAAACCAGAAGCAACGTTTAATGGAAACTCACCGGTAACCAGTTTTTTGGAAAAAATTGGATGACCACTTCATGCTCTACCCCGTGCACGAGTTTCAAAAAGTTACCTTAGCTACCAGCGCTTTGAGGGGCCAAGCGCTTAACTGGTTCAAATGTATCGGCAGAAGTCTCTTGGGTCAAGCAGGAAGTCCCACCTATACTTACGAAAATTTCAAGACTGCCCTACTAAAAGCCTTCCCTGTTGTAAGGGATCGTGCGAAATTAGAAACAGGAACTTTTCAGTATATATCAACAAAGAATCGAAAACCTCTCGAGCTTTATTTTAAGAAAAATTCACGTTTTCAAGCTCTTGTATGGAAACCGTCCGGATCCTGAAATAATTCAAGTGATTTTGCCGAGGTTACTACCCCAAGTGCAAGACTTTATTGAATTAAGAAATCCGACTACACTGGAAAAGTTATTTGAGCTAGCAATCCAGTTTGAAAGTAGAAGAACGGCGGACGTCGAAAGAAGACGCCAATATCAACAGCGAAACCAATTTGGTACGCCAAGACTACAGCAAACTCAAGCACATGGCTACGGAGAAAAAGCGAATCAGTGGGCAAGGAAACCCGAGCATTCAAAAACAGCCGGCGAACGTCGACAGTTCAATAGCAACCCAGGAAAAAAGTCTCAAGGCCAGTGGAGAAAGAAGGAAAGCACCGGAAAGGAAAAATAATTTAAACTAAAACGGATTTCTGCTGACGAGAGGGTGCGGAAATCCGAAGGCCACGAAAACCCCTCTTCCTACAAGTTAAATACAGTAATGGTGAAAAATTTGAACTCTTCCGAAGATTGAAGTCTTGGTAAATAATATCCCGGCCACCGCACTCCTGGATACCGGCGCGCAGTGTTCCTGTGTGGCAGAAGTCTTTTTTAGAAAGTATTTTCGCAAATACCGCATATATAATGCGGATAATACGACAGTATTAGCGGCGCAAGGAGAACAATGTAAGTGCGTAGGTAAAGTACCTTTGTATATCCGTATCAAGGACGAACAAGTAAAGGTGATGTTTTTTATAGTAAAGAATTTGCAAGCACATTTAATCTTAGGAATAGACTTTCTTTCAGACGCACAAGCTACACTGGATTTTAATGAAGCGTCCCTTAAGCTGACGAATGAAACCAGTGCGTGTAGAAAAGGTTGAACCGCCAAGGTTAAATCTTGACCACCTGCCTAATGACGAGCAAGATAGAATCCGACAAGTGGTAAGTGAATTTGCTTCCTTATTTAGTGATATTCCAGGATTTACTCAGGTTACTAACCATAGTATTGACACCGGAGATGCATTGCCAGTTCGTCAAAAACCATACCGGTATGATAAGAATAAGGAAAAAATTATAGAATGGCATATTACCGATATGCTACGTAAAAAGATCATAACGCCCATCTCAAGTAGTTATGCTAGCCCGGTGGTTTTATGTAAGAAAAATAATGATTATCCTTTGGAGCATCCAAAAAGGTGGAGATTCGCTATTGATTACCGTAAATTAAATTCCATAACGAAATATCCGGTATATCCGTTACCGATCATAGAAGAAATTTTAAGGAACATAAAATCAACCAAATTTATGACGACTTTAGACTTAACGAATGGTTATTTTCAAATAGGGGTCAGGCCTGAGGACGTGCCTAAGACTGCTTTTATAACCAAGTCTGGCACTTATGCATTTTTGCGTATGCCGTTTGGCCTTTCAGGGGCCCCAGCAACATTTCAGCGATGCATGGACATTGTGTTAAGACCTGTTCTTGGAAAGTCCACATTTATCTATTTAGACGATATCATTATTACTAGTGATAATCTCGACCAACATGTACAGGATTTAAGACAGGTGTTTTCTTTATTAAATGAGGCCGGTCTAAAAGTTAATGTCGAAAAGTGCAAATTTGCAGCCCCTGAATTAAAATATTTAGGTTACAAAATATCGCAAAAAGGGATCGAGACAGATGAATCAAAAATAATCGCTGTACAAAAGTATCCGACTCCAAACACGGCAAAGAAGCTCTCTTCTTTTCTAGGACTTTGTTCATATTATAGGTCCTTTATAAAAGATTTTGCGGCTATCGCTGAGCCATTGTTAAAATTAAAAAGGAAAAAGGCAAGATTCTCGTGGACGGCCGAAGCCAATAGTGCTTTCGAAAAATTAAAACAAGCATTAACGCAAGCCCCTGTGTTGAAATTTCCTGAAAAGGATGAAAATTTAGAAATTTCAGCGGATGCTTCGGATTATGCGGTAGGAGCGGTACTTTCGCAAAATCAGCAGCCCGTGGCATTTTTTAGCCGAACTTTAAATCAAACACAAAGAAACTATTCCGCGACCGAGAGAGAGGCACTTGCAGTTCTGTTAGCAGTGCAAAAGTTCCGAGTCTATTTTGGAAAGGCGCCGATAACAGTATATTCTGATCATGCGGCGGTAACTAGATTGTACTCAGGGAAAAATTTATCCCCAAGGTTAATAAGATGGGCACTCAAGCTGCAAGAATATAATCTGGTAATCAAGCATACCTCCGGAAAGGAAATATATCGTAGCAGATGCCCTATCACGAATTAAATTAGACGAACAGGGTAATACCGTAAAAGTTGGCAATGCTGACAGCGTGTACAATAAATTCCCGAGAAACTGTAATAACCGAACTGGGTAAGGATCCTGAGTTTGGAAGTATTTATGAGTATTTGAAGGATCCTGAAAATTTTAGCCACCAAGATATTGTGGCGATAAGAAATAGGGCGGCCCATTACGAACTAATAGATGGTCTATTATTCTTATACAAAAAACTACGAATTCCAACAACGAATTTCGACCTGTTATCCCAGCTAGTCTTAGATTAAATATCCTGCAGGAGCTCCATGACAGCCCTTTAGCTTCTCATGCTGGTATTCGAAAAACTATCCAACGCGTACGCGAGGCAGTCTACTTTCCTGAACTGCAAAAGTTAACAAGGGCGTATGTCCAGTCCTGCCCAACATGTCAAGCCGTTAATTATATTAATTTCCGCCCGGCCGGGTTTCTAAATAGTATTAAATCCGAATTTCCAAATGAAATAATTGGCATCGATTTATTGGGCCCTTTCCCAAAAAGTCAGTTAAATAAAAGTCGCTATCTCCTTGTTATGGTTGATCATTTTAGTAAATGGACCGAAATTGTTCCCTTAAAACGAGCCTCCGCGAAATTAGTTACTGATTCTATTTTAAATAAATATATTTTAAAATACGGGGCGCCCCTAAAAGTTATATCGGATAATGGTCCTCAATTTGTAAGTAATATATTTGAAGACATGTGCCAAAAACTGGGCATACGTCATTTAAAAATGGTCCCGTATCGGCCGCAATCAAATATAGCGGAACGGGTCAACAGAAATATAGTGAAAATTATCCGTAGTTATGTTAAAAATTTTCATAAAAGCTGGGATAACTATGTCAATGAATTTGCTTTCGCCCTTAGGACCGCAAAACATGATACAACGGGCAAAACTCCTGCTGAGTTATTTCTAGGCAGAAAGATTATAACACCGTTAGATAAATTATTTTATGTGCAACAAAGAGCCCCAGAATTTAAAATGGGTGATATAGAAAAACTAATAAAAGAAGCAAAAAAAGAATACGGAAGTAGCACAAAGAAAACAGAAAGTTGTATTATGATTTGAAACGACGGGGAGTAACTTATAAAGTAGGGGATGAAGTTTTAAAAATTAAGCATTCACTTTCTTCAGCACCAGAAGATAAAACTGCCAAATTTTTTCCACGATTTGAAGGACCATATGTTATAGAAAAAAAATAACTCACGCTGTAGTAGTGTTAAAGGCCAAGAAATGGTGAAACCTGTTCCGCAAACATTGATCA